ATATGCTACTACTCTTAGCAATACCGAGTGTTGGATTGATGAAAGCCCAGGGTTCCTTGTTAGGATCCTTGTGGCCGATTATAACCGAATTTCCATGAAGCAATAAAGATCCCCAAGTTTCCGAGTCAAAAAAAAAAAGAGAGCGAAAAACTAAGAATTCCCTGGTATATACTACTCGTAATATAGAAAATGGGAAATTCAGAACCAATGCATCTCAGCCGTTTCTTCACGCCTGATTTAATCCAAGACGTCCATGTCTGCCCTTAACTGAACCTGCTGAAGCTGTTGTGGACGAAGAGCTCAGACTCCCGACACGCGCGAAGGGCCCGGCGGCGCCTCGCCTGATGCGGCCACGCGGCGGCGGTCGCCCGCGGCGGACGAGCGGCGGGCGGTCCTCCTCTGGTCCATGGCGTCGGCGGGGCGCGGGGGCTGGACGGCGGCGCGGCAGAGGGGGCAGGTCGGCGAGGCGGGCAAGCTGCGGACCCACTCGTCGATGCAGGTGGCGTGGAACCTGTGCCTGCACGCCAGCTGGGCCTCGGCCCTGGGGACGATGGCGCAGAGGCAGACGATGCAGTCGGCGTCCGCGAGCAGCGCGGGGGCCCGGCGGGCTGGGGCCGGCCCCGAGCGCGGGAGCGGGAGCGGCGCCCCGCCGGACGCGGCGAGCGGGAGCGCGGCCGCGGAGGCTCGGCGGCGAGAGGCGCGGCGGAGGAGGCGGTTGATGGCGATCGACGCGGCGGCGATGAGGCAGATGACGCCGAGGATGATGAGCGCCGACCGGGCGACGGCGTGCGAGGCGGAGGCGGGCGGAGCCGGCGTGGGCGGCAGGGGGACGACGAGCACCGCGTACGGCGGCGCGGGCGGGGCGAGGGAGGATGCCATGGCGGCGGCGGCGGAGGAGGAGGAGGAGATGGGTGGCGCTTCGATTTCGAATTTCGGGAGCAGGAGGCTGGAGGTCGAGGCAAGCGCGCGCGCGTGTGGGTTGTGGCGGTCGGGGTCGGGCTCAAGTCGCGTGCGTGCGTTTGTATGAAATGGATCATTGATCGGAGGCAGGGGTTGCGGGGATCGATCGGAGGCGTGCGCGTGCGTCTGCGCTGCTGCTCTACCTGCTGCTGTTCAGTCCAGACTCCAGAGGCAAGCCAGTGTGGCACTCAAATTTTGGTTGATTGCAAACGAGTTGTGCTTCCCATCTAAATGCGCAGTGTTTTGGTTTGTTGTCAGTGCTGACTGTTGAGCAAATGCTTTTCATTTACTGATCATCTTCTGAATTCTCAAGTACTAACAGGTTGGTTCAGGTTAACTCTGAAGGATGCCCCTGAGACTGAAATCTGCAGTCTGCGGGTATACATATGGAATACAGATACATGCATCAACCTGAGCATTCCTACTGATCCAAGCTGCTGCGGTTTGTCTCTCTGTTCATGCTTTCGCGCTTTTGATCGTTGAGTAGGCCTGTCAGCGTCGTCGGTCAAACCCTAACCATGTGTGTGTGTGTGTGTG